AAGTTCTGTTTAAAATTCTAAATTGTAAGGCTTTTTTAAAATTATAGATGAGTATTATAGCACAATTTCTGTAAAGGAATTTTATTTCAATTATATTTCATAATACATTATAGTGATAAACACTTTTGACTCCTTAAAAATTTTTATACATTTAATTCTAATATTAAAATTGTATTTAACCGTAATAATTAATTTTGCTTGTATTTCATAGTGATTATTTTTTTAATTTATTTTTAGTTCTGCATAAGATTTTTTTATTTACTGTTAATTCAATTTGTTAGCCCAAAGGGGCGGTAGCCTAGAAAGGCTGTCAGTTTCGAAACAGCATTTTACGCTGTTTTACTATAAAAGTCCGTGTCTCATTGCAAATTGTTGTTACCAAATATTATCGCCCTATATTATGTGTAAAGAAATTAAATAATGAAGAATCTGTATGAATACATGTATGGTTCTCGCACTGTGACAAAAACGACAGTATCTAGAGCCATCAAATTTTGAATAATGTAATCCTCCACCCGAACATGGGCATCTGGACGGCCGAATTTCGAATCTGTTTTAATCTATTTCATATTTTGATTCATTTCATATTTCATATTCAAAACTTTAACGAATTTTTTATTAAAAAACTCATCGAGTTCAGAGCGAGCACTCTACGGAAAATAACAGTTTTATCTCCAGTGCAGAAATTCTAAAGATATGGTGTTTTCAAATGTATGTGGTTTACGGGCGAAGAACATGATATCCAATAAACATAGGTAATGCACAAAACTTTAAAAAAAGGTTCCTTTTGGGCGTAATATAAAATTTGAGTGCTTCTAGATTTTATTTTATCTTTCCCCCCCCCTTCATTACGCTCAGAAAATTTTATGCTCCGAATTTTATGAATTATTAAAATAACTAATCCACTTTAATGTTAATAATTTAATGATCATATAATCAAATAAATATGATCAAGACACAATAACACGCCGAATAACTAATTCAGAAGTCAAACAAAAAAATCAGCGTTATATTTTTAAAATTTTGAAATTTGAAGATATAACGCTGATTTTTGTTGTTTGACTTCTGAATTAAATATGATCGTTTTGTAATGTTATTATAGTTTGTAAAATCACTGCCTGAAAATGCTCTTTAAATTAAAAAAAATTATCAGATCTTGTTTAATTTTACCTTATTTATTTCAAAGCATCATGTACTAATCTTATTTAATTTTACTTTATTTTGCAAAATCAAGTTCATAAATTTTGTGCTTAGAGTTTTTATCGTTTTACGAAAGTAAAGATGTTTGTACAAGAATTATGCATGAAAAAAATGCGCGAAATGTAGTAAAAAGTGCTTTAATGAGATATATTAAATCCTATTTGGAAAAAACTGTGGCTTTGATAATCTCATCACTATACAACATTTAATAATTAAAAAGAGTTATGTGAAACAAACGCCATAGGTTTCGGTATTAAAGTAAACCAGATCGTCCCTACTCTTTCTTGCCGACATGTCGGTGACGCGCGCCCCGCCCACTGGGTTAGTCTATCTCTTATAAGGTCCATGCTCCTAAGTCTGCTCAAAAGCAACTTCGTTTTTACTCCGCTCTGCGTTTTCGTTTCGGCTAAAGTGCAGAATCGCCAACTTTTTTGTTTGGCGCTTTTTGCAAGAGTAAGACCAAATGATGTGTACCTGGATAAAGTCAAGAGTGTGCGCAATGCCATTTTTCTGCAATTCTGGGATTTTTTTTAATTGAAAATAGGCCAACGTGTACATGGATACCAAGTATGTGCAATTCTTAAAAACGCACCAAACAGTGGGTGATATTTCTTTTCCCCTTCGTTTCTCCTATTTTTGTAAGTAAGCAACTGTTTATATACGCACTAATACTAATCGAATCAACGAATGGCGCTGCCTACGCATCTATGAATCTAACGACGTATCTAAATGCCACATCTAAATTTCTGCAAACGGTGGTTCAATTATAATTCTATGATCAAAATACTCAATCTAGTTATAAAAGGATTTATTAAAATACTAAACAAACTAACCTAATCTAGAATTTAGAATCGAATCTAATGTTACATCTCATGAGCAGCGTTCCAACTGCGTCATAACAAATCGAAAGTCAAGTTCTCACTGTTGCCATTCCAAGGCAAAGAAAAGTTTGTTTCTAATCAAGCCGGAACATCCCGGCCCCCGTTGGGCGATTGTCCAACATCATTTGGAAATGGACGACGAAAGATTCCATCTGAAGTTCTGACGTCTACGACTCGTACTAATCCATCTGGACCAAGAAAGGTTTCCTCGATGCAAGCTAGTGTCCACTTCATGGGTGTCTTGTTTTTATCCTTTAACAAGACTCCACTTCATGGGTGTCTTGTTTTTATCCTTTAACAAGACTAGTTGTCCTGCCTTGAGATTGGATCTCACTTGATTCTATTTTGAGCGGTTCTGCAAATGATTAAGATATTCCACGCTCCAACGGTGCCAAAAATTAGGTCTAAGTTTTTGAATTAAAGTCCATCTAGAAGACAAGGTCAAAGAATCTACAGAATCATTCGGTTCTGGTATCGACAAAAGTGGAGCTCCTATTAGGAAATGACCTGGAGTCAAAGGCTGAACATCTGTTGGATCAGCCGAAATAGGTGATAGAGGTCGAGAGTTCAAGCAGGCTTCTATTTGTGTAATTAACGTATACAGCTCTTCAAAGTTTAAAATTGTCGTTTTCGCGACCTTTGTCAAAATTCTCTTCATTGATTTTATATTAGCCTCCCATAATCCGCAAAAATGAGGGGAAGAAGGAGGAATAAATCTCCATGTAATACCTTCTTCGGAACTAAAGCGTTGAATGGGATCCGATCTACAAATTCTAAGGAGTTTATCAAGAACATTCTTCGATCCCCTGAAGTTCGTAGCGTTATCACTCCAAACAATGGATGGTTTGGATCGTCTGGCAATAAACCTTCTAAGACATGCTAGAAATGTTTCAGCAGACAAATCCGATAGTACTTCTAGGTGAATAGCATTTGTACTAAAACAAATAAATATCGCGATAACTGTGTTGAGACCAATTTGTCATCAACGATAATGTCCATGTTTAGCAATTCACCGTTAGAATCAGTCCGGCCTTGAAAGCACCATCCAAATATTGTTTCGGAAGCTATAAGTTTATTTTTAAAACGGTTAAGTCTACCAGGTATTACTTCATGATAGTAACCTGCTCCGATCAAAACAGCAATATTTTTGTCTCTGTATTCACATGTTGCCATTTATGATCTTTTTTCTTATTTATATTTTCTCAGTCTTATTTTTTACATTTAACAACATTTGATAAGTGAAATTTTGCTTACCTTTCTTGATGAATATTCACAGGCACGCTTGGAATTCCTTTTCATTTTTATCACACAGAAGCTTTATTTACAGCTATGTACAACAATTGTATGCTTACATTAGAACGTTTATCATGTTTCTCTGGTTGCCACTACATCTATCTCAAAAATCCGCAATGCGGTAAGAAAAATATAACAAGCTAAAAGTAAAACAGCTGCGCCCTCTCGTGGTCAGCTACATAAACTGTAACATCCTCGCCTTCGATGAACTCTTGGTTCATCAAAGAATTGGATTCTGAAGTTATCTTAAACACTAAATGTTTTAATGTTCTACAAGTTTAAACGTTCATAGATGCAGTGTTCGCAATTTAAGTTCATTGTATTCAGTTCAAAGAGTTCAAGTCATTTCTAATAAGTACAATAACTGCACAGGACGACGAAGATGAGTTCCATTAGCTAAACGGACATTGCAAGCCCTTATTTTCCCATCTCGTCCTGGATGATATTCCATAGTTTTTGTAAATCCTTGTCTACCCTTTTGAAGGTTTTTGCATTGTCTGAATATATTATTCGACATACTCCTCTTCTTGAAATAAATCTTCTAAAGGACAGAAGAAAATTGTTTGCTGTTTCCAGATGCACTCACTGCTCTGGTTACAGCGCATGTATACAGAGCAATATAAGCTTTCCCAGTTCCATACTTTGCACTCATAGGACCAGCAAAATCAAGTCCTACAACTTCGAAGGGATTTGCTTTTGTTATTCCTTCGGTTGGTAAAGGAGCGATATCCTGACTTAGTGGCTTAGCTTTAAATCTGTAGTAAGTCACACACTTGTTAATATTACTCTTTACACACTATCGATCCTTAAGTATCCAGAATTTTTCTTTAATTTGAGTTAAAGTTTCAGCTACACCAGCGTGTCCTTGTGTTTGGTGACAATCTTTAATGATATGATCTGTTAAATGAGACTTCTCAGGTAGTATTGCTGGGTATGTTTGATTATAGCTTAACTCAGCATTTTGAACCCTTCCACCTACTCTGAGTATTCCATTCGAGTCTACAAATGGATTTAATGTAAATATTTTCGAACTATGTATGCTTTGTTTCATCTTTAATTTCCTTATTTCTTCTCTAAAATTTTCTGAGTTTTCTTGATGGAGAAATTCTCTGCTTCATTCATCTCTTCAGCCTTAACAGGTCCAATTCTTCTTAGTTTTGAGGTTTTCAATTATTGATAAATCTGAAAACATAAGATGTTATTCTATATACTTTCTTTATGTCACTGAAGTTCTCGATAGGAATGATAGGTTCGCTTTTTTCAACAATACAGTTTGCTGTTAATATTTCTTGCTTCTTTCCTTTTCGTTTCTCAGAATTTGTTATTTTATCATCTTCATTAAAATTTCTCGAAGATCTGGGCCAAACGTTGTTATCTTTAACAAGCCAAGGTGGGCCATACCACCACAGTTAATTTTTTGAAAGGGTTTCTACCTTCTGCCCTCTCGTCAATAAGTCCGAAGGATTCTCATGGCTGGGACAATAATTCCACCAATCTGGATCCATTTTCTTTGGATTTCTAGACACCTATTATGTGCAAATTGTTTCCACTTTTTCTGATCAGCCTTGACCCAATGTAGTACAATTTCTGAATCTGTCCACATATAAATCTTCATTTCTGTAGAACTTATGTCATGAGTCGAGCTCCTATGACTGCTCCTAAAAGCTTCAGTCGAGGTAACGTAACCCTTTTTATGGGAGCAACTCTTGCTTTGGACATAACAAATGATGTTTTTGTTAGCTCATTTTCATTGTATCTCAAATATACAACGGCACCATATCCCTTTTGGCTACTATCTGTAAAACAGTGCAATTGAATATTCGACAGATTTACCTTTTGACAGATTGTTGAAATAATGTCTTGGAATTTCAACATTTTTTAATTTAGGAATTTCATTATACCAGGTTTTAAATCGGTTCTGCAATTCTTGATCAAGTGGTGCATCCCATTGGTATCCTCTTTGCCAACATTCTTGCATCATCATTTTAGCTGCAACAACAAAGGGAGATATGAAACCGATAGGATCGTATAGTTCGCCCGCAACTTGAAGAATCTTCCGTTTTGTTATTTCCTCAGCCGGATCCTTGAGTAATTCATCTTTGATTCGAAATTTCAGTTTATCTGCTTCATGATTCCAAATATATCCTAACAAAGTGCTATTCATTCCGTCTCCATTAAACTTCGTATTTTCAGCTGCATTCCAAATCGCATGTAATTGGGCGTTATTGCTCCTCCACTTTCTCATATTGAAACTAGCAAGCATCATAATCCTTTTCACATCTTCATAAATTTAATTTCTGCAGTTTCTCCTTCATCATCTGTACCATGAATTAAATCATCTACGTAAAACTTTTCTTGAAGAAGCTGACAGATATTCAAATATTGTGCTTTCACTTTCTTGCGTGATGCTTTATAGTTGCTGTTAGTAAAACGGGGTTACAGGTTGCTACGAATATTACACGCGTCATTCTTAAAATCGTCGGTTGCTCCTTTTCCTTTGCAGTCCAAAGAAATCTTATTGCATTTCTGTCCTCAGGCTTCAACAGAATTTGTATAAAAGCAGCTTCGATACCTGAAGCAAATGCTATTTTGCGTTTGCGAAATTAATTAGCAAATCTAATAATTTATGGTTTAAATTTGGTCCTGAATGTAAGCAATCATTTAAAGATAGACTGTCATGAGTATGCGAGGAAGCATCAAATACGACCCTTAATTTCGTAGAATCGTGATCTTCTCTGATTACACAACGGTGTGGCAAATAATAGATGATTTCTGCAGAATTCTTCGAGACCTTTTCAGCTATTCCTTTATTTAGATAATCTTCAATTACCCTTGAATACTTGTCATAAATTTCAGGATTTTTTTAACCCTTCTAAGTAAACTGCTCCATCTGTTTAAGGCGGTGTTATAATTACTACCCATTTTGTTCATATTGTCCTTCCAAGGTAATGAAACTTCATAACGATTGGTTTTATATTCAATAGTTTCTTCAAATCTACGCATAACTTCAGTGTCATTTTCATTGTTGAATAGTTATATATTCCAATTGCATCTAAATCCCATAGCCTTTTTAGAGCTGCACTAATTTCCAAATCATGTGCATGTGAAATATTCTCAACAACATTCATTACCGTAATTCCGGAATGAAGTGTAGAAACATTACTTAATGCTTCAGTTCCACTTATAGTGTAACCAAATAAGGTTTCAGAGGCAACAAGACCCTTTGATAATCTTTTAACCTTTCCCAGTGACTATTTTCCAGTAATAATCATTACCAATTAATACTGATATTTGAGAGTTATGGACACCTATATCTGTAGCATCAGCAAGTCTTATCGAATTTTCCTTACAATAATTAAGTATTTCCTTTCCTGGCATACCAATAACAGCTTGATTAATTTCTGGAGTTTCAAGAGCTTCAATTATTATTTTCCCAGGTCCACATATATCTTTAAGAATAACCTTAACCTTTTTTAGCCTTTTAACTGTAGGCTCAGTAGAGCCGAAGGTGTAAATCTGAAGTTCTTCCCCCACAACACTTAATTTTAATTGTTTTGATACTTCTGTCAGGATGAAAGATTTATGAGAGGCAGAATCGAAAATGAGTTTACATTTTTTCTTCTATTCTGACCTAAAGCTATTGCATTTGCAGTTTGTAAATATACCCTATTTTTGTTATCTCTTTCCGAAATTGACGCCACCACTGTGTCTGTTTTAAACTCAACTTTATTTTCGCGTTTTTTTTTTTTTTTTTTTTTTTTTTTTTTTTTCAAATTTATTATCATGTAAAATAGTATCATTATGCCTTAATGAACATAAATCACAGCGTATATCCGAGCTGCAACGGGCAGACGTATGAGACTTACGAAAACATAAATAGCATCTGTTAGCCATTTTTATTTTTTTTATTTTCTCCTCAATTGGAATTGCGCAATTTGAAGTAGAATGTTTCAAAGATTCATTTTCTATCTTCTCGCAAAATATACAATCGGCTGTTGATGTATTCGTATTCAACGACGCAACTGCTGGAACAAAATGTTTGTTTTTGAAGGCAGTATGATATTTCTCACTTTTAATAAGGTCTCACGATTGATGTTTATGTTGTTCGGTTCTGATGTTAAACTCAGAATAATTTGGCTATGTTTGGGAAAACGTAGGCTCTCTGCTTTCAACTTCAGAAATTCCAAAATGTTACTCACTGTAGTTTCTGTGTCAGGGTTTAATGATCGATTAAACTCTAAAACTAATTCGCTAGGAAGTATTCTCATTAACAGTGGGCATAACAAATAGCTGTAAGAATTCGAAGTAACGGCTTCTAACTTCAAGGCTTCTAACTTCAATTTCTAAGCTATCATATAAGTTACGTAATGTTTTAATATCATCCATTTTTTAACTGGCTTTAAATTCAGCAGACGATTCATATGTACGTTTATTAAAATGTCCTTTCTACCAAACCTTTCTTTCAGAATATTTATTGCCTTAGCGTAATTTTCGGTAACTAACGGTAATCCCTTTACTGACATTAAAGCTGTGTCCGTTAGTAAAGATGTGAGGTAATTAAATTTGTCTACATTCTTTAAAGCAGAGTTATTATGTATAGCAGATTCGTACTGAGCCCAAAAACTTTGAAACTTACATATTTCGCCTTTAAATTTATTAATGGTTAGTTTCGGAAGTTTAGCGTCATTTGTATTTGTGCTCTCTACCGTATCTATAGTAGAAGAATTAGATGGCATCTCATTTAATTTAACACATTTTCTATTTCTAAATATTCTACTGATCTTCGATTTGGACAACGTAATTTTATTTTTATATTCTACGCTATCCTGTATTTCAGTTTCGTACTCTTTTTCATCTGTTATGATAGATTCGATTTCAGTGTTCAGTATTAGTATATCGTTTTCATTTTGATTTAAGATGGATAAATCATCTTCTAATAAATCAAATTTAATATTATCCGATTCTATTTCCTTTCCATTTTAGCTATCAGTCTTGTTACTGATGCTCTTAACATTCCTCGCTTCTTTTTTAGTGCTTTTAACTTATCCATCTTAATAATCAATATTCAATCACTAATCGAACAATAATAAATACTTAAATCATAATATATCTAAAGATCACTGTTATCTCGGAATTTCGGCACCATGTTGCAATTTATGATCTTTTTTCTTATTTGCATTTTCTTATTCTCATTTTTTACATTTAACAACATTTGATAAGTGAAATTTTGCTTACCCTTCTTGATGAATATCCACAGCTCGGAATTTCTTTTCATTTTTATCACACAGCTTTATTTACAGCTATGTACAAAAATTGTATGCTTACATTAGAACGTTCATCATGTTTCTCTGGTTGCCACTACATCTATCTCAAAAATCTGCAATGCGGTAAGAAAAATATAACAAGCTAAAAGTAAAAAAGCTGCGCCCTCTCGTGGCCAGCTACATAAACTGTAACATCACAAGAATCAGCTAACTGTAATCAACTCTTTGTGAAGTTTGGAAACTGGGATATCAGGGAAAAGTAAATTAGTTGCACATATTTGGTTAATTTCTAAAGCTTCAATTTCTATATTTAGGGATGGTTCACTTCTGTTTTCGAGTTTGACTTTCACAACATTGTAAGTTTGTTCTGTTGCCTGGTTAACCCCAAAGGCAAATACGGACAAAGTCTCCTTTCGAATAACAGGTAGTTTACACTTTTCTGAAATGTCCCGAATTATAGATCTTCTCATCGATCCATTGTCTAATAGAATACGAACTGGTTCTAAATAATCCTTATGAGAAAATGGACGTATCATCACAGTGCACGTTTGTAGCAATGCACTGAGGAAAGTTTCGGTTTTTAAGTGACTAATCTGAACATCTTTACTGGATGGAATTGTCGACACGACCTTGTTTTTCTCTGATTTGGTTTCGAGTTGGAAACAAATAGACCTATTGTGTTTTTTATTACATATTTCGCACATTTTTCTTTCCTTACATTGCTTAATTTTATGCTGAGGTTTAAGATACAAAAAACATCGGGCTGGACATTTTAAAATATTTCTTTTCTCCTCCACGGTTTTAATTTCACAGCGCTCCGATTCGTGTAGTTCATCACAATATAGAATTACTCCTAGCGAATGGAGCAATATATTCATACGTTTTAGGCAAACTTTTTTCTGCGCTTGTTGTTTACATTAGCGTGAGCGGAGTGGAGACGATCGTTTGATTTATGCCTCCAGTTATGAAATCATTTCCGCACGGTGTTTTTGTGTTTGTTTCTCTACCATCATTTAACTGCGTAGCTCTTTCGCAGCTTTCGATTTCTTTACGAATAAATTCCATTAATTCGTTAACGTTCCATGTTTGGTCACTGTTTCTATTGCGACTGTATTCTAACGTAATCTCTGATGGAATTAATTTTAACAATATTGGGCAAAGTAAACTACCGTAAGTTTCTGATACCATGTTCTTTGACTTTAAGCATCTAATTTGAGTTTCATACTGATCATATAAATTCCTAAGATTTTTTCTATCCCTTACATTTCTAAAATGGGAAAGATTTAAAAGTTTGTTCATGTGAGCATTTATTACCAAATCTTTTCTCCCAAACCTGTTAGTTAACAATTCTATAGCTGAATCGTAGTTCTTATTTGTAAGCGAAAGTCCGGAAACGGCATTATAAGCTACCCCACCTAGTAAAGTCTTTTAAGTAACTGAACTTATTTATTTTCGATAATGAGTCATTGCTATGGATAGCTCCCTCAAATTGACTCCAAAATTCCTGCCAATTGCTAGAATCACCAAAAAATTTAGAGATAGTCAATTTTGGAAGGCGAATAAATTTATTACTTTCAATTTTGGAATATATAGCGTTTTCATTAGGAATTTTCATACTTTCCTTATCCAAATTTTCGAGTTTGTGTAATTCCCTCAAATTTTTTCTTGCTCTAAACTGCAAGACTTGTATTTTTTCCATCATACTCTAGAGCGGATAAAACTTGAAGTTCAAATTCATCCTCTGCGACCTTCAAATCCCTTTCTATTTGAATGTTTAAATCACTCAAGAGTTTTTCGTTTAATATGTCTAAAGTTTCTTCTATTACATTTATACTAACGTCATCTTTGCTTAATTCTGTCTCAATTTTCTTTAGCACCTTGGACACTGCGGTCCTTAATGCTTTGCGTTTCGATTTAAGTTTGGCAACAGGATCTTCCATAATTACTTTAAAATAAAAAACTTATCCTACCTTTTTGCAGGCTTCCCACACTTCACACCGTGCTAATCCATACTTCCGAATCCATATTTTCGAATAATAGCCGGCTTCCCGGCACGTCGCACCAAAAATGGTTATGTACGCACCAGTGGCGGCTCGTAATAAGCACTGTGGAACTGCAGCACCCCTTATTTCCCCATATTATTATTTTTAATATTTAGTCTTTAATTCTTTCTTTTTCTTTATACATTTACAATACATAATCCTTAAGCTTAATGTCAGTTACCATCCCCTACTTTGTGAAAAAGGTAAGAAATTCTTTGTTTGAAACTGCGCGCTTGACAGTTCCAGCGACGTTGTGCTTGGCTGTTCTGCGCATGCGCGCACAGAAAGCAGCACGCGAGCCGGGTAGCGAGAAGAGCACTGCTCTTGCAGTGCCGAAATTCTGTCATGTTGTTGGAAACGTGATTTCTTTTTACTCTGCGCGTGTGGTATTCTTCCACAAGGTGGAACTTCATCATACGGACCATAAACAGAGTTCATGAAAATTTGCAACCTTTAAAAAATTGCCTTACTGAAATTCAATCAACATCAAATGCAGATCAAACTATTGCAAAAGCAACAGAAATTTTAAAAAAAAAAAAAAAAAAAAAACTATATGATGATAATTTCAAGTTTTGGTTAGAGCTTTTTTATCAGATGCGTCATGTTGAAATAATATACAATTAAGTGCAATCCACAGAAATTAGTGTGTTGTTTAAAGTTAACGAATATATAACAAATTTCAAAACTGCTATTTTAGAATTAAGAAACTCAAAGTACTGTAAGAATTTTTCAAAGCCACTGATAGCAGAAGCTAAGGAAATATGTGGTTTTATACTATGTTTTTATATAATGCACAGGTATTCTTCCACTAAATACTTAGCAGATGATGCTAAATTGCTAAACAAGAAATGCTTCGCTAGTTTTAGGAATGACCATTCTACAGAAGAAATACTACTGACCACTGAAGCATATTTAATGATTGACAGAGAAAAGCTTGAAACTGAACTAAAAGCATTCTATTGTAGGTCTGATATCCATGAATACTGCACACGAAACAGATAAAAATTCTCTTGAGAGTTCCCATGACTACATCAGAGGCATAACGCTGCTTTTCAACATTTAAAAGAATGAAAACTTTTCTAAGAAGCACTAGGAATTCGGAAAGACTAAATGCGCTTGCACTGATTTCAATAAAGAAAAATTTCTTCAGTTGTCATCCAGAGATCAAGGAGAAAATTACTGATCTTTTCGCGCTAATTAAAACAAGAAGAATGGATTTCATTTTTAAATGAATAGGCAAAGATTGAACTGTAACAATTTTGGTTACTTTTCGCGCAAATTCAAACAAGAAGAATGGATTTCATTTTTAAATGAATAGGCAAAGATTGAACTGTAACAATTTTGGTTAAAGTAATTAAGAAATGTTTAATTTTTTTCTTGTAAGATTTCCTGAACTTTCAAAATAAATTTTCTTTTTATACATGTTTATTCCCTTTTAGACATTTTTAAAACAAAGGTTAAGTTTTTTTGGAACAGCACCCGCACTAATTTTAGCCACGAGCAGCCACTGGTACGCACTAATGTACACTAATCGAATCAACGAATGGCGCTGCTTACGCATCTAACTATGAATCTAACGACGTATCTAAATTTCTGTAAGCGGTGGTTCAGTTATAATTCTGTGATCAAAATACTCAATCTAGTTTTAAAAAGATTTATTAAAATACTAATCTAATCTAGAATCAAATCTAATGTTACATCTCATGAGCAGCGTTCTAGCTGCGTCATAACAAATCGAAAGTCAAGTTCTCATTGTTGCCATTCCAAGGCAGAGAAAAGTTTGTTTCTAATCAAACCGGAACATCGGCAGAGTGAAAGTTTCTAGTCAAACCATAAGAGCAATGTTAGAATTTGAAATAACCTAAACTTGTTTGTCTACTAACCTTGCTTCGTACAGAAGGCCAACGGAAATTTAGGACTGTGAGCATTTTTCTGTTGATATAGCTGCGGCAAGCAGAATAATAACGTACAGTTATGACAATTAATAAACCGTAAAGCCAATCAGAACACATATGTGTCTTAACTGAGTAAGCTTATCAACGGCCCATCTGTAAGACCGCTGAATGCTAGCAGTTCAACCTAGATTCAAATCCCAGGGAGCGAATTGTAGTATGTGAGTTCCCACTGATTTTCTCTACACATAACGAGAATTCAAACCAGTTTTACTTAATCTAATCTAAGTCTCCCATGAAAAGATTCTCTCCTTAGGTAGATAATATTCGCGTGCTTTGCTACAATACAAATAATCACAATTCTAATTTGGTTAGGCAAGTTAATTAGGCAAGGTAGTGAGGATTTATCTGTCCAGAAAGAACTGCCTTTCAGTGTAATTCATGGTTTCTAAATCTCTTATAAATCTCTCAATGTATTTGTTTTTAAAAATAAGGGCAAAACTTAAAAGAAATCTACCAACTGAAATCCAGAATTCAAGTTGAAATTACGAAACTTGAAAAATAAAGTAAATCCTCAGTCCGAGATGACGCTGCATCTAACAGTTGCAAGTTTCTAATGTCAAAAAGGTTAAATTCGATGCCTTTCTTATTACCTTTCTGAGTATCTGGGATATTCAAAAATATTGTCAGACAGTTTCCCAGTTACAGACCAGGGATAGTTACAAATTAAATGAGCGGCAACAAACCTCATTTTCACGCAAAAAGAACGCAGGCTGACTTTCTTGAGTACATTTTTTTTTTTTAACCTTTGCAAAAGTAATATAATAATTCATGCACTTTTTGGAATCTACTTATCAGTTACCTATTTCGGAAAACTAAAGGTTATCAAATTGATCACTAATACTAAAGGTGTTAACTTGATAATTATCGATTTCTTTCATAAAAAGTCAGTCTCAAGCTACTGTTATGAAATCCGGGAAATTAACAGTCAAACCAAAAATTAAGCTGTATCTCGTAATATGCAGATAATCGAAAAAGGAGTCTTTTACAAATACAATGTGTAAAAAAGTATTGGCAGTTGCCTATAATTAATCAATCTACTAGCTACCAAACGGAATGCTTGACAATTTTAGCTGGACATAATGAAAACAGAAGGCAATAAAGACTAATACTTTGTATTCATACCTTTTGCATTTATAACAGCTTGTAATCTAGTTCTCATAGAAAAAATCAAAGTCCTGATTGTTGAAAATGTCCTGTTGGGAATTTTGTGCCACTCTTACAGTAATATACGATTAAGTTCATCTTTATACAAAATTTTATGTTTCCTGACATCTAGTTTCAATTTGCGCCATAAATTTTCAATTAAATTTATGTCAGGCGATTGAGGCTTTGTCTTTAACTGGCGAGGAGCGTTATAGAGTAACTATTGCCAGGTGATTTTCACTGTATCCTTAGGGTCATTATCCTGGTAAAACACAAATGGTGTTGTTCCTTAGCCAAGTTTTTGGGCACTGAATTTCACGTTATGCCGCAATATGTCAATATACGTAGAGCCGTCATAACACTATCAATGATGCACAGGTTGCTGCCTGCCATACAGCAACAAACTACGACGTTCCCAATAACATGTTTTACAGTCGGTGTTAAAATGTTGTTTTTCCATTTCGGTGTTAGGCTTTCTCCACACATACTGTCGTCCATCACTCTCGAAAATGTTAAACTTTGATTCATCGGACGAAATAACTGTGTTCCAAAATTCGTCTGATAAATAAATATGAGATTTTGCAAAATCTAATCTCTTTCTCCTGTTTATTTCTAAAATGAAAGGTTTCTTTCTAGCTGCCCTTCCACAATAACTTCCTCCATGTCACACATTCCGTATAATCTGTACATTAAAAGTTTTATGCGAAGTATTAGCGACATCCTTGGATAACTAAGGTGCACTTATTTTAGGGTTTCTTCTTAACCGCTTTGATAATGTCACGTTTTCCCTTTATAAAATATTCGAGGCCGTCCACCTTTAATCTTATTTTTCGTCGATCCTGTCTGTCTCTTTGAACTTTTTACAACACTTCTAACACTAAATAACATTATATTCAGTTGTATTCCTATAGCACGATAAGTTAAAACCTCATTTCTGAGCTGAAAAATCATGTTTTTAACATTAACATGCAACTCCTTCGATTTTGAAGCTGTATTAGCAAAATAACGTTTTAAAAGTTTCGAAGTAGCACTGCAGACTTTATACTAA